CTTCAAAAAAAATAAAAAAAAATATATATAGAAGAAAAAATATAAAAATATCTATCTAAAAAGATCTGAAAAACTACGAGCGGACTGAGTAACTACTCTAGGCAGTTTAGGTGTCCACTCACCTTTTTTCTTTTGAAAATGCTTTATCTTTCTGTTCTTGTAATTTCTTTTCACTTCTTTTATGAACCATTGTGATAAAGAAAAGAGATCACAAGAAACATTTTTTTATTTTTCATGCGAAAAATAAAGGATCATACATCCTAATCCTAATATAATCATTCAACATATGCATTACTTCTTTTTTTTAAAAATGCAATGATCATACCACTAGCTGCTAAACAGTAATAAAATCATGTGATATTAACGCTATAACAAATTATTTGGTATGTATAACGAATAATTCGTTATAGCGTTAATAAATTTTTTTATAATGAAGGCCTGATCAACTCAGACACCAAATTCGTTATATCAAGGGTTTACTGTATAACAAATAAAAGTTAAAAATTATACAAATACTACTATTAATTTATTATTAGATCTCAAATACCATTTTCTATTGTAGAAAATTTTTAGTTTAAAAAGTTATGTAATGTTTTAGATTAAAGATATATTTTACTATTACATCAATACTTACAAAAATAAATAATTAATAGATTTGCAAATATTCTTTAATTACAAATAAACTTAAAAATTTCTTAATAAAGTATTTTTTACTACTGATATTTGAATTTTAATTACAGATCAAACTTATCTAAGAGTAATTATTTATTATTTCAATAATAAATAGAATATATAACATTATCTTCTTGATATAATTTATTTTGAGCATTATTATACTAGTATTAGAATAAAAAAAAAGTTTCTTTAATTAATAAATTAAATGAACCTTAATGAAAAAGTTATTTCTCTTACTGATGCAATAATGGTTCTTTGTGATAAATTATGATAACTAAATTTAGAGAAATTTAAAATGATAAAAAGTTTTAATATTACTGATATACAGCATATATTTTAAATATTACAACTAATCTTAAAATATAATTAAGAATGAAAATTATTAATAAGGTTAGAACATTTGTAAATAAAATTCATTATTTTGCTATTTTTTGTGATGTATTCACAGTTATTGTAAAGTAATAAAAAGATTATCTTAAACCTAATTTTAATATCACTATACAATTAAATAGTATATTTTTAATGTTAAAAAAGTTTAAACAAATATATGAAAAACTTGATTTTTTTGTTTATAGAAATAAATAGTTAAATACATTTTATTTTAATAAAAATAAATAAAATCAAGTACAATTAATGATCATCCTATTAAAACTAATGTATAAAATAACAAAAATTCTTTCTTTAAGTTCGTATTTAACTTTTAATTATATTAGATTAACTTGTATAAAAATTCTTTGATATATTGAGATATATATTAATGATTACATATTAGAAGAATCTATTATGACAAATTCTATATGTAAAAAAATTAATGATTATTAAAAGATACTTAATACCTCTACAACTATTTAATTATCTTAATTTAAATTTAAAATTACTTACTTTTCTATTTGAAAAATAATGTGATAAAGCAATAAATCAATTTCATTTACAAATACTTATATATACACTATTATTAGATTTAAATAATTCAAATTATATTATAGAAAAAAATACAAATACTAAATCATTTTTTAAAATTTAATTATACAATAATAAAATAAAATATAATTATTAGAAAAAGAATTAGAAAGATATTTGGTTTTACTATTAATACAGTTTGAATCATTATTTTAGTGATATTAAATTATAAACAAATTTCTGATTTTATCAAAAATAGTATATAATTATCTTGCTATTCAAGATACACTCCTATGCAAAAAGTTTAGGATCACCTTTAAGATTTACAATAGCAATATATAAATTGAAAAAATATTTATTTATTGTATAACAAAATAAACTATTTATGACATATTATTTAGTAAAAATCATTACACAAAAATTATTTTCCCCTATATTTATTTCTCTATTATTTCCACAAAAATGGTTAAAAGAAAAGAACTAACAGATTTTGAATGTGGTAAAGTCATCAATTTTTATAAAGCTGATGACTCCAGAAGAGTTATTTCAAAAAAACAGGTTATGGCAAAATAACGATATATAATATAATAACAAAATACTATAAGAAGGATACTATTTATATTGTTAATAGAAGTGGATATCCTAAAAAAGTAACTAAATAAGACAAGCATTATCTTAAGACTATTATTGTTAAAAACTAGTCTGAATTTATTGAAAAAATAAAAGAAATTTTTATCGAGTCTATTGGAAATGTAATATATAAGCGAACTATGAAAAAAATATTATTGAAATGGAATATAACAGTTGTACAGTCTTTAGAAAACCTAATGTTAGTGAGAATAACCAAAAAATTCATTTAAATTAGGTTCATAAAAGGTGTCTATAGACTATAAATGATTGGAAAAATGTTGTGTAAAGTGACGAGTCTAGATTTACTCTATTTTAGAATGATGAAAAATTTTGAGTTTGAAGATTTTCTAAAGAAAAATATAATATTAATTGCTTTATTCTAATTGTAAAATATAGTGGTAGAGGAGTTATTATATAGGATGTTTTTCCTGACATAGGTTAAATTCTTTGATAAGGGTTGATGGTCAGATAAATAGTGAAAGATATATTCAAAAGATCTTTGATTATATTTAATCCTATTTTTAGAGGATTTTAAAGAACAAAATGGAGAATATTTGTTTCAATAAGATAATATATCAATTTACACAAGTGAATAAATATGAAATTTTATTGAAAAAAGAAATATAACTTAATTACCTTGGTCAGGACAAAGTTCTGATCTTAATCTTATAGAATATTTATAAGATAAGCTTAAGCATCAAATTTGATTAAAGCAAAAAAATCCAAGGAATGTAAAGAAATTAGAAGAATTTCTTTAATAATATTGGTTAGAGATTTTAGATGAAATTTACCAAAATTTTGTTGAAAGTATGAATTGTCAAGTAGAAGTAGTGATAAAAGCTCACAGTTATCTCATAAGATATTGATAAATACTTTTATTATATTTTATAAAAATAAATATCAGAAATAATTTTTTTTTTCATTTTTTCATTAAAAATTATTCCTTTTTTATTAAAAAAACTTTAGTATATATTAATTCTTCAATTGTATGGGTTTTCAGGTTCTGTTTTTTTTGTCGCATACATTAAATGCTTTTTAATAATTATAATTTAATAAATATAATTATACAAATTATTTTTTATTTACGAAAGTCATGTGCTTTAAATATGATTAATAATAATCGATATAATAATGCTTATTAAATTTCTGATATTTTATTTGTTACTTACAAATAATATTAAAAAAATTAGTTTTTATTTTAATAAATAATTTTTTATAGCTTAATAAAATGTTAGTTATTTAGAAAAACTATTTGTTTTATAATTTATCAGGTAGTTCTAAACCTTTTGCACAAGAGTGTATTAGTATATCAAGTAAACAAGCATTTTCAGTTATATCACATATTATTACAAAAAATTCAATACAGCTTGTACTTCTTTATGTTTGAAAAGCTAGATAGAATAAAATGCTAGTTCAGTTAATAATAAAATTATTTGAACTTGTTATTTCTGATTTATAATATTTTTAATAATGCTATTTTATTAATAAAATATAATAAACAAATTTATCAAACAGATTATACCTTTTTAAATAATTATCAAATTTATTTTAAATTTAAACATATATAAAGATAATAATAGCATTTATTTATTATTTTATTTTTCAAAGCTGTGAATTTTTTAAATACAAATTGCAGTTATATTAATTAACTAATAAAATTTAAATATATGATTAATTGAAATTAAAATTATAGTTACAACTGCAATTTTAACTTCAAATAATAAACTAAAAGTTGGTTCAACTTAAAAACTAAATTAGCAGTTTTAAACTAAACTAAACTGAATCAAACTAATAATATCCCTAAAATTTACTGTATTATTAATTCAACTAATACTTATAAAATAGAATAATTATATAAAAAAATAATTATATATAAGAGATTAATTATAAAATTATAATTACAATTAATTTTCTCTAATGTATTTTATATAAATAAATACATATATTATATATTTTCTTTTTAAATTTATACTTTTGTTCAATCTTAAACATATAAAAATCATATAAAATTTTCTTTTTAAATGCATTTTCTTTTTAAATACATATTTTTTTTAAAATTTTACTAAAATTTAAAAAAATATATAATAAAAAAAGATAATTATAATTAATTAACTAATTCATATATATAATTTTTATATAATTAAAAAATTTTTTTATTAATAATTAACTTTTTATTTATTAAATTAATTTAATAATATATAAATTATATATTTTTTCTAATATATTTAATAATATAATTTTATAAATAATTTATAATTAAAAAAATAAAAATAATTAGAAATACTATTAATTAAGATTATTTTAACTTCTTATATTCTTATAATTACGTAATTTAAATTATTTTGAAAATTTTAAAATTTGAAATTATTATATAATGATAATGTAATATGGGGCATGCTGTAACAAAACCAGACAAAGTGAACATTTGATGTCGTTCGATCCTCATGCTCGAAGATTTTATTTTCATCTTTTCTGCATGACTTTTAATGATTCGATATTCTCCATAAAGTTCAAGAGTATATGATGAGTGTCCCCGACTAGCGTCATTCCATTGGCAGTTCACTAAATACCGACACGTAAAAACGCAACCACGTTCTCTCCTTTTTTATTTACTTCAAAGCTTATCGTACAAGCAAAATACCACGCTGAAGCAACATGAACTCATATTCTAGATCATCTGTACAGCCGTGCTCTCATTCGAGGCCTCATCAGGGATCAATCATATTGAGTAGACCGCCTGCGTACGAAAGGCGCGAAGGCCTCTTCTCTATCCTTGCCTCGTTAAAGGACTTTACGACGTTTCGAGCCAGCAGCTGAATTCATAAATGGTGACGTAAAGTTATTGCACAGTTAGTAACGATAATGCGTACAAGCGCTCATGATTGAAACATACCGCCCATTTCACCACACATTCATAAAAATAAACGAAGTCTTGCATCTCTGTGAAATCTCGAGGAAGATTTGCGTTGTCTACTTCGTTCAGGCAATAATTCCCTGAATTGACATTGGCCGTGGAGGCATTATCAGCTTCTGACAATAATAAACTTTCAATGAGAGGGTAACGTACCACAATAGTTAAGATAATACAGATAAATCCGGAGGCGGAAACTTTGACCACCAAATACAGTTAAATTTTTCGGCAGACGCCTCCGATTCTTGATTATTTCTTTGACAGTCCTTGCGAAAATATTCTTTAAGTTACGCGCAATTTTTGTGACATCGGCAATCTCCTTTTCTTCCTTTGCCGCCGGCCTTGATCCTTCAACGTAGACCAGCTGGAATTCATCCGCATTGGTCATGCATCCAATGCCGTCAGCGAGGTTTTTGTCGATGTGATATTTGGATGGGACTTCTCCATACTTGTAATGTAACCCCGCTATGTGCCACAAAGCAGCATCAAGACACGGGTGGACAAAGGCATTTAGATGAGTTGTTTCGATCGCGGCTATGTTTAGGAGAGGATTTTGAGCGCCAAGAGAGAACGCTTTTATACTACAGAAGAAAGATATAAGAATGGATCCCCTTAAAAAAAAATTAAAAATAAAAAGATAAACATGATATATACAATTGCGGCAGGGTACTTCGGACAATTCGCACTATGGCAACCATCAAAAAATCATCTGAGTCTTGACATCGCAGATCGTCAATCTTCTTTTGCCACCCTTCGCCTGTTGTAGCTTGTGAGAAGAAACGAACGAGAAAATCATGCACATCGGTAGAAATTAGTGATTCTGTTATAGTGTCCATCTCAGAAAAATACGATTCTGCTGTTGATCTTGGAAGCTTTCCGAGAAAGGGCGAACACAGACGGAGGTCGATTAAATCCCCAACCGGATTTTGTTTCGCGTAGATTGAACAAACTGTTTTCATCGCCTCCGAGCATTCAAAGGCGTTGCCCAAAATGTCTCTAATCGCTTCCTACAGGTAATAAGAAGAGAATTAGCTGCTTTTCAGGTATTGTTTAAAGTATACAACTGATTCAACTACGTCGTCATCCTGATGTTTATCTACCTGGCCATCAGCTGGCTCATGAGCATCAATTTTTCGGGATTTTGATTTTGTTTGATCGAGATGGACGTCTCCTTGTCGTTTCTATAAACGAAGGATTCATTATTCCTAGTTTTACAAGCACTTTTTGGTACATAATTTACATAATTGAAATTTTGATACGCCTTACCATGTTTGCTATATTTTTGCCATTATCTTTATCCTCGCCGCACTTGTCATCTTGCCCGTTCGATAGGCGTCCAATTAACTGAGCCTCTTGATGTACAGCTGCAGTACCCATGACTTTTTAATGTGCTTAACTGAATGTCGACGTTGGTATTGAACTGTTGCTCACACAACATAATGAGACTCTTGGAATCTGGCGAAGTAATACAGCATACTATTATATACCTGTTGTTTTTCCAGCTCCCTCTTCTTTTCAAAGAGATTCCAGAACTCGGTAGCTTCTCGGCCGTTCTTCTAAAAAATGATAAATAAGTTACCATTGCATTGATGAAATTTTCGTATGTTGGTCGTCGGCGCTTGTTACACGTTGTAACCGAGGACGAAACCTAACTCCCGGAGTTAACAGGGGCGACACCTGCTCCAGCGTGATTGCAACCCGTATATACAAGCGCTCCGTAATTGCACCGAGGACGAAACCTAACTCCCGGAGTTAACAGGGGCGACACCTGCTCCAGCGTGGTGCAACTTACAGACTAGCGGAGATTTCGCTAGCGACAACAGTACATATGCATATATAGACGCCTACAGACCTGTTTGAGAAGGAATGAAGCAGCTATTTGTCGTCCTTCGTCTGTGTCGTTTTTTTCAATTTCCCTTAGCTCTTGTTTGAATTTTTTCATCCATAATGATTTTAACGTCTTCAATCTGTGATTTTGGAATTGGGGCTTCATGGTCTCGAGATATCCGAGGTACGACCATTCTTTCGCGGGAACTGACACAAAATACTGAACAGGTGCAGGTTGACTGTGTTCATTTGGGTGCTCATCCGCCAAACCTCCGTCCGTGTGCTCGTTTCTCGACATTGACTTAACTTCTGCCATCGTAATGAACAGTCTATGAGTATGTTGGCAACTTGGCTTTTGTTTTTATGTGATCGGAACGCGTAACGTCATCAATCCAAGCCACAATCAGGTTATGTATCGGTATGACAGTATCCACATATCGATATCACCTATGTAAAGCAGAATGGACATTTATATATTGATATAATTTATAGTTGTACATATTTATGTCATGATTCCGTTTCACACTTATTCATTGCCATGACCATCAATTATACGAGACGACGACAACAGTAACGGAATCATGGACTGTACAGGTTACACAAAATTTTAACCCCCTGTAATCATAGATCGACCAATCAAAATCATGAATTTTGAAGCTAAAAACGTGTTAAAAAAATCCATTATATCTTAAAAAATTTTTAATATCTTTTATTACGTGTTTTAAAAAACTTTTAATATCTTTTATTTTATGTCTTAAAAATAAATATGTAAAAATTATTAATTTAAGTTGCTGGAATTTTTTTTAAAATGTATAGCTACAATTAAATATGAACAATTTATATAAATATACGCGAAAAATTCATAAATTTCACTTCAAAAATAAAAATTTAATAAAAATAAAATCTACAACTCAGAAAATATTTTTTTTGTGTGTTTTAATAAATTTTTCATTTTTGCCATATCATCCATTGCTGTTTCAACATTATCCAAATCATCGTCAACTGTATTTTCATTATTCTCATCGATGAATTCATTTTCATTTAATCTTTTCATCATACTTTTTTTTAACGCATCAACATTTTTTTTAATTTCAATCTGAAGATAGTCTAAACATATTAAACATTTAGACTGACATTTTTGTAGACAATTTTTATGATATTCATGTCTACATGCAAAAACATTACAATCATCTAAATAAATAGTATAGTTAGTATCACAATATATGTAATCACACAAGACAGATGTAAAAGGTTTTTTAGAAGTAACAAAGCCTCTTAGAAGGTGTCAATCGGTTATTTCATAATCTAAAGAAGGCAACTTGTATGAGTTTATCCATCAGATGAAGTTTTAACAATCAAAGGATATTGATGTCGTGCTTGATATATTTTTGTAAATGCATCTAAAGCAATACAGCATACTTTCGAGAAAGTGTATGCAATTGCTTTGGTATATATGAATATTTTACAGAATTCACAAAAGTTTGTCGAAAAATATCATCCTCTCAATACTGAAAAATAAAATGAGCCTTCTTTTGCAATTGTTGTGCAGTGAAAAAACTTAGCTGTACATTATCGAATGATGCTATGAATGATTTCTACAGGATAATCACTTAAAGTGACAAGGCAATTAGTAACCATGTTGATCATCAGATGATTTGTCTTCATCTAATAAAATGCATCAGAAAAGAACATTAAAGGGGCGTGCTTATAATTTTTTCGATCAAATTGAAGAAACAGATCACTTCAGCAATGCATACAAGTTTCCTCGTAGGCCAGCCAGTTATCTTCTCAATGGTGTATAACGTAAACATCAAGAATTAAAGGAATCAAATTGCTTAAAAGATCAGTTAAATATAAGAACTCGATATTCTTACATGTACGACCAAACTTAGAATAGACAATATCAACTATATCAAGTCATGGTATATGCATTATGTGGAGCATTAAATCAATTCGCTATAGACGTAGCTTTTTATTAAGATTCTTATTTTTTCTGAATATTCCTTTATAAATATTGTTAAATAGAAACGAATTTTTTATGAACACAAGTTCACGACCATTTAAAGACATATGGAGAGGACTCATAATAGGTAAAAATGCCGTAATAAATGAAGGGATAATTTCATTGTTGAGAAGAAGCCAGTGTGTAATAGCTTTATAAACAAAGAACTGACCAGGCCAGTCCACAACGATAAAAATTGCATAGTTAGAAAGATATGCCTGCATTGGTTCTTGATCGTATATGATTTGAAGAGCTTTTATATAATCCTTCACGCTTTTCAAATTACTTTCAACAAAGTTGAAAAGGATTGCATTCTGTACATGCCTATTTGTTTTTTTTTCATCAACCTATCGTTGTAATTGTGCAAAGTTAGTTGGTTTATGAGCTCATCATCAGAACATTTCTTACTTGTATAGTCTTGCATACAATCATTATAAGAAACACCAAGATTTGCGATGAATCAATTATCAAGATGTTTTGTAATCAATCCATCATCAATATTTTTTAAATTATGTGCTCTATTATGAGGTATTGCTAATATGAGACAAGGATTTATTATGATCATTGCCATATGTGCTGCCTAAGATGTACTAGTAATGTCAGGTTATCGTTGAACGTGAATATTGTGATAATCATCAATATTCAGCATGAGAGCCCGTTCTGAATATTTTATAAGAGCATTTTCTATGTAATCCCTATGCAAATCTGAAATTTTTTTTTCTTGCAATCTACCAATCTTGATGTCGTAGTTGCACTAAGATTCGCTATCGTATTCAAGTTCTCATTACTTGTACCTACTAAATCTAAATAGAATGCAAGATCAAATTTAAAAGCATTAATTTTTGTATTATTTAACCAAGCAAGAAGATAGCATATGAATACCATTAGTCTCTTTATACAGTCTATTATTTGCTCATTACGTTCAAGTGAGCGAGCTGCCAAATAAAGATGATCAAAAAAATCCTTTAATCTTGGTTCAATATTTTGAAATGTGTTTCGCATTTCGTCGAATGAGTATATGGTCTCTTTTTTTTTGAATGTTCTCTTTCGTAAATGATCTTTGCTATTGTCTTGATTGCTCTAAGGAAATCAATCTTCATACTTACCTCTTCCTCATGTTAACATTTTCGTTCATAGTTTTTACTCATTTAGGACCTTTTTTTAGAGGATTTTCTACAAAACTCATGTAACAAATATTACATAAAATGATACCTTCCTTCTATGTTATCTTCACTAGATCGTTATTCTCAACTTCTCTCTATTTTTCTCCCTTTAATGAGCGAAATTTGGTTGAATTAGTAGTTTGACATTCTCCACAATGCTTCATCTCAAACATGTTTTTAATAGGTAAATAGAAATGTAAAAGTGCGGGATTAACAGGGATTAAACAAATATATTATAGAATAGCACAAATACTTCAAGTTTGCTTAATGAATTTACTTACAATTCAATGTAATATGAGTAATGTAAAACTTCTGTAAATCATATTTTAAACTGTATAAAAAAATTCTTTAATAAATTGTGTAATCTTTTTCCTTATTTGAAACGGACCTACCTGAATAGTGCATGTAGAACAAATAGTAAGGATTCATGTGTAAGTGTTTGTTAATAATTATTTTGGCTCTTATTTTCTTACTGTAATAAAAAGATAATAAATACATGAGGTTAACTCTATATAATGATATGAACGTGTAAGAGTAAGGTTAAGTGACAACTATTGATTTTATGCTCCTATTTTTCTTTTTTTTCTTAGTTCCTGAAAGGGTTCGGCCAATGTTCGCTTATGAGGCTTTTCTATCCTTTCCTCTTGGTAAACCTCATAAATTATCTTTTCTTGATCCAGATAATCCTTGATAGTCTGCGTGCTTTTTAGTTTGAAAATGTAAGGAGCAATTTTTTCACCTTACTTTTGCTTTAAAAGAGAGCATAAAGTGCTGTAGCTTTTGGGCTCCATAGTGGATCTGATATAGATGAGTTTTATATATTTCAATTTTATATACACAGCTACTCCTATATATAATGATAATACATAATAAATATACAATATTATCAAATTTTTACAAAATCAGACAAACTGCGTAATATATATATAAAATATATATATAGTAGACAACACAATCATGAACGAATATGAGAGAGCTCTCCATTTCTTAGAAGTAGGATGTAGTTGCAGGTGCTTCGCTAAGTTACCTAAAGAAGAATTCGCTGTACTGTAGGAAGACTTTTAAGCACTAACAAAACTTGAACAGGACATCTTCTTAATGGTCTAACTCAAATTTATGGATGGAGAAGCAATTAATACTAGCTAACATTTCAAGAATAAGACTCGCACTAATAAAAGAACTATTTACTGCTGAAATCGTAATACCCCTATTTGCTAAAAAATATACCTCAATATGTTAGGCATTGACCATAATTACTTGGAAAACATCTGAAATCACTTGCTCAAGAATGGTCTTCTACCACAGGTTCATAGTAATGTAAAAAGAATGCTACAGTGAAAAATCAGGATGGTCATCAATATTTACATGGCTACCGTGGTCAGAAATTTTTTGTTGAATTATGCCAAAGTACATGGCTTACTCGGCCCAGTAAGAAATGTCAATTAAGTTACCCAATCAATTATTTTCCTACCAGCAGAAATGAGTTATAAATCTATTCATCGTGACTTTTTGGCTGGTCTAGAAAAAGATAGTAAACTACATGCCCTTAAGTATGATGCATTTCGCAAGTTATGGCATCAACTTACCTGTATATTCAAATCATGAGCCTCTGAACTGACTTATGTGATACCTGTCAACAGTTGTAAAATGACTTGCAATTTAAAGTCCACAAGGAGAAAGAGGCCCAAAATCTATTAAAGAAATATAAAGAGTATCTAGCCAAAGCCAAGTTAGAGCAAAACTATTATAACAAAAATACCAAGTTGGCAGAAAAATATAGAAAGTTCGTTGACTATATTTATTCCATAATGAAAGGCAAAATACCATACTGTAGCATTGATGTAACTGCCTACTACAGTTATAACTGAGCCCAAAATGTTCATGTATCTTATTTGGACCAGCAAATCAGAAAAGTGTATTACCTTAGTGCTCGTAAAGTACACTTATTTGGTATCCAATATGAAGCGGTCTATGAGCAACTTAATTATGTGCTGGATGAGAATGAACTTCTTGGAAAGAATCCGAATGATACCCTTAGCCTAGTCTTTGATAGGATCAAGTAATTAAATAAAGGTGAGAATAAAGATGGTATTGTAACATTGTGACACTTATTTGTCACCTGTTGCAACTCAAATTTTAATAATGTTGCAA